GAAGTCCAATACATTTCTTCTTTGGCATGCCCATGCCACTTCTTTTTGGAGAAACGTTCACAGGAAACAGGTATTCCTCACCAACTACTCTACACAGCAGCCAGTCCAAGTCCTGGTACTGTCCTGCCCCAACCACTTTAACTCTTTTGGCAGACCTCACTGCAAAAATTAGCCTTTCTTTCCCAACCTTCCTTACTGTTCCACCCATCGGATTTAAAACCCTAGTCCTTGCCTACCATTTTCTCAATCACTCTGCTCTTTCAGTCCTCCATCACACAGTCTCCATTCTTCCATTAGAGTCTCTCTACTACCAGTTCCAAAGCCCATTCCCACTCAAGTGTGGGAATGATCTCACCACAGTTATCAGAACTGCTCACTCTGTGACCAGTTTTCACAGCCTAATCAACATTCATGTATCCATTTGCTATAGTGCTTATCCAGTACAAGGATGCTGGGAGAGCCGGAGCCTAACCTAGCCAGGAATGCACACGTGACAGGATACCATGCAGAATGATAGACCATCACAGGGAACATACTCAAATAAGGGCCAATTTTTTTTTTTTACAGATGCCAATTAACCTTCTGTACTAGCATGTCTTTGGACTTATGGGTAGAGCACCCAGAGGGAAAACCCATGCAAACACAGGAAGAACATACAAACTCCACACAGATCGCGTTCCTGGTCTGGACTTAAACCCAGGGCCACAACACCATGAGGCAGCAATGCTAACCACTGAACCCACTTAAGATTCATCTGTGGTCTCTCAGTTCTCAGGTTACATTCAGTATGGGTCTTTGAGTGCCTTTTGCTCCTATTGAGTGTAAATATGAAGTGCATATCACTGAGTTGCCGTCACTGCTGCCTGGTATTCATACTGTCTGTATACAGTTTGTTTCACCAAGCACTTGCACAGATCTTCCAGCTTGTGTTGGCTTCAAGCGTCTTATTGTTAGTTTGTTGAATGTACATGATACTACAAATTTCATATATTTGACGTGCAATTTTTTGCAATATGAAAACTTTTTTTAACCTGCAATTCACTGATTATTTCTTTGCTAGGCAGCCACTAAAATGTTGTTAGCTCTTCAGCAGAAATTACTTTTATTGGCCACAAAGAGCATTTCATTTGCTTAAGCAAGTATTTCAACATGGTGAGTTTATAGTGATGAATAACTCCCCCCCAAAAAAATAACAGAATTAAATTTGATAATAAAACTGGAGATCAAACACGCAGGCATCCTGTTCAGGTAATAGGATTTACATGAGCCATTAAAGCTTGTGTGAAAATGTCGTTTTCAATGCTTTGCAGCTTTACAAACCTCTGTTCCCTGAGCCAGTTCATGTGAAAGATCTAAAGTCTCCTTGTGAGATACAGAAGAGAGGCAAAAAGGCAAGAGAACAAAAAACAGTAGTTTTGTTGTCAATTAAAGGTAATCCGAAGAAAACCAATAAATGTTATAGTCATCTGATGAGGTTTTATGAAACAATTTTCACAATGATCTAACTGAAACAAACCAATGAACCCCCCCCAAAAAAAAACATACAGGCAGTTCGCGGTCCACAAGGGGCTTTGTTTCAGTGAGGTGAGTATCCTGCTGTTCCTCCGTCATTGCTGGGATGATCCTTAAAGAAGAAAAGAGAAACATTAATACACACAAAATTCACAGTACATGAAAACAAGTAGAAAGTAAATGGATCAGTGTGTTACATCTAACGTTATACAAACAAAAATACAGTGAAGGCTCAGATTCAATTCTTTGATAGGTTACTGGACATCATCTTGCATATGGTGTCTGATCAAAAATAAGCACAAAATATTCAAATGTAAACGAGATTCAAGAGGGAAAAAGCTTTCTAGCATAGGACCTTCAAAAATTCAAAGCAACCAATGCATTCCTCATCTGCCAATCTACAGAGATTTCAAAATGTGAAATGTGAAAAACTGTGCTTTGGTACATAATGCATTCAGTTTTTTTTTACAGAGCAAAAATATTTGGGAAAAGTGAATACTGACTTAAACATCGAACCCAATCAAGACACTATACTACTGCTTTCATCAGTGCTGTACAGACATATAACGTTTCAAGCACTCATGTGTATTTAAAACCCATGGTAGGTTTGTCATGCACTCTTTGTATCGTCACCACGTGTACATTGCATTTGACTGCCATTACAAAAATGTCAAAGAATATTACCACATTCGAAATGAAAGATGAGATCTTCAAAGCCAGAAACTGCAGACCTAATGTAAACAAAAAAAAACTACAGACAAAAAAAAGACATCTGGAGATAGCGAGTACTTTGTTCAGAGAGGTTTCTAAAGGTTACTCATCATGCTCTTCCTGTATGGAGAGGCAGACTTGGCACAGTGCCTCTCAGAGCAGGAACTTGCTGGAAACCACAGACAGCTGCATTTATGTGCTCTTCTCACTGTTTTTGGCCTTTGGGTTGTTGACAACACTATGTTTAAATCTATCTTTAAAAGTTTTAGTATTTTCTTCCTCTAAAAAAAAATAATAAGTGTAAATAAGATCTGGGGGGGGGGTGGAACAAATACAATAAGGAAAATGGTATTTTCTCCTCGCTCACAGATTCCATCGCCAATCAGAATAAGCAAAAAAAAAAATCAACTGGTCTCATTATCCAACGTCCTGCTGAACAGAAACTTTCACAACCCCGACAAATTTCTCCAAACAAGAAAAGCTTTTTGCCTTCCAACCACCGGAAATGAGTCGCTTTCAACTGGCTCTTTTGTTAAGAAAAGTTTCAGCCCCACGCAGATTCCAGGATTGAAACACGTGAATGCTTTATGAAATGAGTGGCTGGTGACTTGGGGAAAAAAAAACACACACACACTAAAAGCTTTTGTTTTGTTTATAGAGGAGGCACCATGTGTCCCATAGGCAGCACTGCCAAGCAAACAAGATGCCATAAAATCGGTTTCTTTACTTCTGTGGTCTGTTAACATTGCTGAGTTGGCAGTCTCATTCCACATCTAGGTCACCTCCTACACGCGTGAAGGGCAACCCTACAACCTCACTTAGTTAATATTTAACTTTTAGGTAGACTGCTTCAGGACCATCAGTTATGCTTCATTAAAATATCTAAACAGAGAAATTCATTAGTACAGCACATGCTCTGAGGCATTTTTCCCCTCCTTCTCTGAAAAACACCCAGCAAACCATTTTTGAAATTCAAAATACAACCGTAAAAGTATATTCAAGTTTTCCATGGTTATATTGAACTTTTTAACAAGTTACGCAACAGCTAATCCAGAACTGCCTATTACTGCCTCTTCAAGCAGAGGAAAACTTCAACAAATTAAAAATCAGATTACATATTAACATTACATGCACAAGGATGGAGGTATTGGAAAAAGCACATGCATAATTTGGTTTTAATTAATGTTTTTTAGTGCAGTAAATTAAACTGTTTTTCACAAGCACCCATGACTCTTCAAAAATGTACTGTGTAGAATGAGTTCTTTAGGTTACTGACTACATGGGTCAGTGATCCTCTCTCCTAGTCTAGCGGCCTACAGCTCTGTGAGTTTTATACAGCATCTCAAAGACTAAAATAGAGAAACACCCTGAATTAATAGCAATAGATTCATTTAATTCATTAAAAGCTTGGGTAGAATCAAAACTTGCAGATGCTGTGACTCTCCAGAACCTGGGGCTGGGATTATAAGTACAACTATCTGCAGTTCCTCTTCCAAAATGAAATGCTGAGGATATGCCAGGCTTGCTAGCTTTTAAATATCTACAGATGCACATTCCTACAAGTATGGAAGGTTTTAAAACATGCATTTGCTGGAGGTGTACAGTATTCATGTAATTTGTTTGCAATGCAGCTTTAAACCATAAGAGAAGAGGTTCTCCAGTTTAGATTAAGGAGACGTTGTCTTGCTCAATCCTCACAACAGTGCTATCACAGTTTGCAGCACCCACAACTGCCAAGACCCTGTTTGCACTGTGTAATATTCTACAGTGGGAGCCAAGCACAGATCACTTGTACATTAACGCATCTCATTCTGTTACTAGAGTACAAGGCTGCGTAACATCTGTTAAATAGTGTCAGGCCATAGAAACAGCTTTCAGGTTTACTCACCAGTAAAAACTACTTTGTACTGGAAGAATACGCTTGCAAACCATGACACTTTCATCTTTTATTATAAACCAGGATTTCAAGTTTGTCTGCCATTGGCTTCAAAGGTCACCAAAAGGAGGTGGTGGAATGAACCGCGAAACAGTACTTAAAGAACCGGTGAGCACAAGTTTTAAAAAGGTTTCAGAGTACCCCAACTGCAGATCATTAAAAACCTGAGTTTTCGGAGCTCCTACAGAAATATCAAAACCAATTAAATCCAAGACCATTTCAGAATCTATTTTCCTTGAAAAGCAAGAAATTTATAGAGGCTACAATTAAGTACTTAGATATGAGGTTGTTAAGATGTGTTTTTTTTAATATTAAACTAGCAATAAAGCAGAACAAAAGATGTTTTCAGTGATCAGTGGACGTTCAGATCCATATAACATGAAGAAATAACCATATAACCACAAGACCTACTATAAAAACAACTCAGCACCTATGACTAGATTATTGCAGTGGAAAAAAATGATTACAGTCAGGAAAAAAAATACTTGGAAATATGAAGAAGGAAATGTAAAAGTCAAGTGATTTAAACAAAATACATTTCCCCACAATGCTACGACATATGAAGAAATAAAAGCTGATACTGAGGTAACCAAAGATTTTTTTAATTCCCTGGTCCAAAGACAAGCAATTATTAAAATTTCACTATGATATTTGTACACAAATCAGTTCTTCCATTTCCATATAGAGAAGAGTGCAGTATGAACAAACTAAAGAAAGAAAACACTTAACCATTTCTCCACTTCCATTCCTTGTGAAGAAACATTTAAACAGATATTCTTACTTCATTAAAGTTCAAGGGATATTCTAACAAAACAAACTGACATCTTTTACCTTATCATACCCATTACCTTGTAATATATTGTGGAAGATAAATCTCTAATATTACACTGTATACTTAATGCAAGCCCATTCCGTTGAAAACAACCGCATAGATCCAGAAATCCTACCGACTGCACATGAAAACAACGATTGCTTCTTAATCCTTCTGAACTAATCTGTTAGAACTCCAACTGAAAAAATGAAAAATATGCCCATTTAAGACTACATTTACACCTTCATAAACATAACTGACAAAGCAGAACACCAACAGCATACTACCGGTGCAGATTCAGGCAGTTCACAACAGAAAATATACAGTACATCAAGATCTGAAACAGACAAAAGATGGCAGATTACACAGATTCTCAACAGATATCATCATGGAAAGACATATCAAACTCTCAAACAAATGATGTTTTTTTCCACCCCCAAAATCACTACATGAGAAATTTATATAAAGGTATATATGCTTTCTGGATCGTTTTTAACAATTGCAATTAACAGTCAATGAAAATTGTTCCTGTGCCTTATCATAAATATACAAGCTCTTTGTTTCACATGTCAAAAACATACTGAATACATTTTGCTGAAGTGTACAAAACAAAAATAACACCCATCGTAAGCAATTGACCACCCCTGTAAGGAACTATTAATATTCCTGAATGTAGCATTTATTTTCCCTCATTTTATTAATTGTGCATTTATTGTGGGGAAAGTGAGGCAATTCTATTTTACAGATAAAATTTCTCATTAGCAGATCTCAACCATTAAATATGAAGGCCGTTAAACCAGAGGTTTTACCGTATGCACACCATCCTAAAAACATGGGAATAAGAACAAAGGTTTCATTAAAAGAGAACCTGCGTATTGGCCCAAGGCATCTGCATTTCAACCTATCTCCTCATCAAGACCACGTGACAGACGTCTCTTCCATTTATCAGCGACAATTCCTAGACTTGTCAGAAGAAAACTTCACTTGATTTCAACAACTGGTGTAAACTGAAGAAGCGAGAGTGGTCTAGTGAATAAATTAATGATTTAATGGCTACTAAGTGAAAACTACTGTAAGTGTGCACTAAAACTGGAGATTTAGGTTTGACAAACATTTATTGTAGGCTCTTTGAATACATATAATGGATTAAGCATTAACACACATTTTCTAAAGTCAACTGATGATCGATAGCTGACCTACTATAATCTGAATGAACAGGCAAGTCCCCAGAATGTATTTCCACAAACAGTATTTTGACAATCAAAATTTTGAAATACCAGATTACTACACTGGTTGTAATGAGTGGGGGGTGGGGGTGTCAGGATAGCAGAGCTTTTAGCATTGCGGCCAAGCAGCACTAGGGCCCTGGGATCAATTCAAGACCTGCTATCTGCATGGAGTTTGCATGTTCTCCCCATGTTCACCTGGGTTTCCTGCAAGATGCCCCAGTTTCCTTCCACAGTTCAAAAACATACTGGTGGGTTATTCGGCCCCAAGTGCCAGTGTGTGAGTTTGTGTCTGTGCATCCCCTGCGATAGACTGGCTTCCAGGATGACCCTGCCTTGTACCTGTTGCTAGTCCCTAAACCCTGAATTGAAAGAAGTGGTTAGAGAATGGAAGGGTGAAATGAGTTGGGAAATTGAATAGCCTAACAGAAACAAACAAGGATTTAGGCCTACATCTTAAGTAAGATCAAAGATAAGTTAATTATTTAACTCACAGATATAAATATTTCCTATACGCTAAAAAACAATGTAAAAAAATTAAATCCGAATGGCCAAAGAAAGGTTTTAGATCAGGTTGCGTCCTAATCAGAGACGTGCAGCATTATACAACAGGCTGAAACTACGTGCCCATGACTTAAACTTAAAGGAAGCAGCTACTCTTTAGTGGAGAGGAGCAAAAAACTTCAGAACAGAAACTAGTGTAGTCACAATGTTAAAAATACCAGCGTTAAGGCAGCTTGAGAAAACAGTACTTCATAAAACACCACTTTGCTGTCACTGTAATACAGAAGCTTAAAGCAGCAATTTTTTAAATCTAAAATAAACCAAGTAATATATATATATATAAATCATATCTGTTCTGTAGATCTCATGATGCATCTGTGTATTTGCCCAATTACTATGCAGTTCTGGCTGTGGCTAAGTAAGTATGTCATTCTGTTCATTAACTTATTTTTGTTGTTCTACTCTAGTCTATATGTAGCTGTTTGGTGCTGCATATTAGTTGAAAGGAAGCTGCAATTAATAAACATGTCAGCAAAACACATCTTCCTAAATAATTCTACAAAATATTAGAAATAATAGAAAATCCACATTGTGTGCATTTACTGGAGGTCAACCTACAGTATGATGCTATTTAAAGAGTTTAAACTGCATCCAAATTAGTTTTCTTATTTTTAAGGATAGGGTCAGAAGGTGGATGAGAATCTGTAAAAATCCCTCTGCGAAATCAGGAGGGTAAACAAGTTAATTTACTGTACAAAAACTGGATTTATTTTAGTCATTTTCTGTTTTCTGTTAATTCAATTATACCAACCATTTCTAGCCTTAAAGGACTATTTCAAGCCTTGTTCAGCTCAGTGTGTGAAAACACACAATATGCTGCAGACTGATAAAAAGTCAGAGGATTTAGCATTAAAAAGGGCCAAAACCTGTTTCTGTTTCTTTCACTTGAAACGCTAAACTAATTTGATTAGTTTATTCAATCAGCTGATGACGGGCAACTGCAGCAGCGCTCATGAACACATCGTGCTGCTTAACTAACAACAAAAAAAAAAATCACTCTCCACCACTGATATCCATCCATTTTCAACCCTCTTAATTTCAGGGCCACAAGGGAGCTGGAGTCTATCTTGACAAACAACAGGTGTAAGGCAGGATACACCTCAGACAGGACACCAGTCCGTCACAGGGCACACACAAACTCGCACACACACATACCAGAGACAATTTTCCCAAAAGCCACTTAACCTACTTAACCACTGTGCTACCAAGCCAGCAATGTGAATCCTTTGAAATCCTGATCTTGACTACTGAGGTGGGTACTGCTAGGACAGACCGAGAGCAACTAACTTCCTAAAAAAGTTAATCAAGCACAACAAATATACTACACTGCATATGTGAAAGCACAATAAGACATTCAGGTATAAAAGCATGAAATAATGGCCTAACTTCCTAAGAAAGGTTACTGAAGGACATACCGCACATATCAAAGATGCAATATACTCTTTCCAAGGTCACAAGCTCAGTGGCCTACACTTAACTGCAGATGCTGTTGATAAGCGTTTATGAGTGCCTCCTTACTAAAAACAAAACTGTCCATATAAAGGTATTAATAACCAATCGCAGAACCTGTTGAGTCTCCAGGAAAATGCAGGCAATATTAATAAAAGCGGTTTACAACACCAATGTGGGTATACCGACCTCCAGGGCTGCACTGGAAAACCTCACCCCAAAGATTGCACAGTATGTGTTACAGAAATAAAACATGAAGAAAGAATATCAACTGAATGATTAACTAGCCTGCACAATGTGTTGCTCACACTACTTTCACGCTATTTGATCTTCATCCTGGTGCATTCCACCAAAATCCACTTACCATTCATACTACCTTTCCTATCAAGGTACTATAAATATATTAAGTCATGACAGCATTATTTCATACAGCGAATGTATACTTATAGAAACTATAATTTCTAGATTTCAAAAAATCACATTTCTATTTCTTTAGTTTATGCAGCAGTTTATTGTGCTCCTGTAATCTTCACACATAACTTCTCTTGTTGTGTGGAGGGGGTGGTTTACTTTTAAAACGTAAAAACTGAAGAGGATGAACTAGAATTTAACTGGAACGTGGAGAGTTCAAAGTAACGCATACAGTAAATTGGGTTATAGGTTACAGGGGGAAAAAACACGTTGCACATGTGAATGTACCGTCTGGCAGTGAACCAAAGAGCACTCGGTTTCCCTCGCCTAGTGCCACACTAGCACCTGCGGTGAATGACCTGTGTCCTCGGAGCAGCAGTACACGGTCTCCAGTTTAAAAAAAAAAACGGGTTCCGATACTAAGGTCAACTGCGGACAGCTGTCCCAAGGAGAAAGGACCGCTTCCCGAGGGGAGGAGGAGCGGTACCCATTGTCTCACCGATCAGTATATACACATCACCACGTTTTCTCCGTAAACTACACACTCACTGTATTTATAAAGTGTATTATATACAAGAAAGATGCCTTGCATCATTCTTATTCAATATGCAATCAACTTTAAATACCTCCCCCCCTTTGTACGTCCTCCCATCTTGGTTTCACACGCCTACGAGTATCTTGGGAGTGGATGGTGAGGCGGACTTCGGTTCGTGATGAATAAATCCTGGTCAGAAAGTCCTTACAGTCACAGCTTTTTATACATAGTAAGGAACCAAGCGAACAAATACAGTTGCTGAAACACATTTTAATGTCATTAAGTTCCTCATTATATTTCCACTCTTCACACCAAATGCAGTAGAGTTGCACTGCAAATAACGTTATTTAATTTACAGCAAAGTACAGTTTAAAGTGCAGGGGGTACTGTGAGTTTGACTGTCAACTGCAGCACCTCTGCAAAACTATACTAACAACGGTATAGTGTAGACACGGGTTGTTTCACAATGTAACTTTTAAAAACAGCGCAGTATCCTTTAACGTTTCCTATGCTCAAGTGTTTTGTGTGCTGTTACAGGAAAAAACTCCGTACAAGTGCCGTTCAATTTTACTGTGTGTACTTGAAGAATCAGATCGCACTACAAGTTTTGCAATAGATCACAAGTTTATGCATGACAAGCGTATATTCCATACCTTTTCTTGCACATTTGAATTTCAGACCGATTTTACATCAGTAAAATTATCGCTTGCAACCGACGAATCAGTGATCTTACAAAATGGAAACTAAGTTCCCCCCTCAACCTAAAAATTACTAAAGCATAGACCCTTAAAGAAACTATACTTCGTCTAAACACACTCGATTTCTGTAACAGCTGGCTTAAGAGTGCAAGAGTATTACAAAACTGATCTGACAAAAGTAACTCTATGCAAAAGCACTGTTCATTTTCAGGTGCACAATCTTACCTTTTCAAAAGTCCAAACAAACGCACACCGAAAATATCCTAAATTACAGCAAACTCAATCGCTCAGCAGCTGCTCCCGTTAACCCACGCTCCGTATGACAACAGCTTGCTTGTTTACAATGTGAAGCTGTAGTAGACGGATGTAGCAATGAATTTTATAAAGATTTGTGCGAATACAGCCCTGCCCACTCCATGTTTCTTTTCTTCGGCGATTGGGCTACACTGCTCTTTTTTTTTTTCTTGTACGGTTTTGCACCAAGCCCACTTTTATGAAGCGAGCGCTTTGTAGCCAGAGATCACACTGTACGGAAAGCGGTTAGCGCTCAGGGAAGGTAGTTCAACCACGTTGTTTGGGAATTCAGACAGGAAACCGAGTCAAGTTTCTGGAATGTACCTTGCTAGTCGACGCATCACGAGTGCCTGAAAAGAGCGAAACCGACGGGACGTCGATAATATGAATAGCTAGTCTGATATTTTTGAAAGTTCAGCTGTTAGGGTATCCGGTCATCGCCAGCTTCCCTCCTCAACTAGCCCACTCAAATTATACCTTTTTAATTTTCTTCATGAGAACACCTGAATTTCTGAACAGAAGGTTCAGTGGTGTGTGTGTTGGAGAGGGGCATTTCAAATAATAACACAAAAGCAATACACAAATGCATGAATTCTGCATTTTGTGGAACACATGTGGTCCATTAATAAACATATCCCTTGGTATAAAATTTGACTCATGACATCTGGAATTAAATGGTTGGGTGTGTGTGAGCATTTGTTGGACAGAAGACAATTGCTTTTGCTTCTCAAAGGTCAGGAAACATGTTTTTATCCAATTTTCCCATCCAAAATCTTTCAATTTGCTCAGCTGAGTTAAATTTACCTTAATGAACAGGCTCCAACATCACCTGCAGTGACCGGATAAATGCAGAGACCAAGTGGTCTCCTGTCAAGCTGTATTTTCATTGTACATATTGTAGCGAGATCTTGTGTATTTGTTGTTGTTGTTGTTGTTGTAAAGCGCTTTGAGAAGCCACCTTTAAAGGCACTATATAAAATAAAGTTTGTTATTATTTATTAAAAACTTAACACAGATTCAAACCCGCAGCCCTCCAGCTGGAGTTCGAGAGTAATTTTATTGTATAAACTGCACACAAATAAGTGAAAAAAAAGTGTCTCCTCTTCTTGCTTTTAAATTCACTTCTTTCCATTTGAGTCCTCCTGGTTTTTTTTTTTACCTGATGTTTCTGATAGATTCCACTGGGTTAACCTGATTGAGGCGTTTAAAGATAATAATTGAACCAGGTCACCTCATAGTCTTAACTATGCAAGACTAAATAGATTCAGCATAGGTCTGTATTGGATTATTAATATGTAATTGTTTCTGAGACATCTCAATATTTCATACCATGGCTTGCTTTTTTTCTTAGAAATTACAACTGTAAATGTAAATACAGTTAAGTGCTTTCTTTCTTTTCTCTCTGCTCTCATTAAACTACCGATTCCTAAAGCAGTGCTTGGTGTGTTTTATGAATGGTCTTAAGATCTTAAGACAAATTCTGAAGTATCTTTGTGCTCACATGTCAAATCCTGAAGGTATAATATCAACTCTGTAGCATCCAGGCACATCTGATCAGTTCACCAGAAATGCATTTGTTTTGAAAACATTGATTTCCGTTTTAAAATAAATCCCAGTTATAACAGCTTGTATTGGTTTGAGCTTCTTCCTTGGTCTGGAGATATTTGTAGCTATTAGCTGAAGGGAGGACAGGGGCTCTTTGCTTGTATTTTCTGTTTAAGGACATGTGTAAGAATCTGAGACAAACATCTCTAATATCAAGCTGTATGAAATATAGATTAGTGCAGAATTTAATTTTGTAATGTTTTTTGTAGGCCTTATTTATTTTCCCTAATGTTGTTTAGAGGAACGAATGTGACACTGTACATCAGCCATGTGCTGCAATTTATTCCACATATACTTTGTGATCTTGATAGGCACTGACAGAAAAATGGCCTGAAACAATCAAAAGAGGGATTTACAGTATCCTTGAGTCTTCTGTTGTTTGAGGGAGAGAATGGTAGAAAGCATTAGTTTCCACAAACACTGTTGTAGAAGTCTCCGAGTATTACCGGAGTCAAAAGAAAAAGTGTTCAATTCGAGGTGAAATCCTTTAGGAATTATATTATAACGACGACATCTGTAAAGGAATAGGAGGTGGTGGGAAAGCCTGGTCTTGGGACAGATCGCTGTGAAGAGACGGTATACTGGTTTAGTAAGATAGGGGGACAAATAGCCCAGGGAGGAAGAGAAGGAACAACGACGAGATCTAGAAAAAGATTCAGTGGAAGGCATAGTGGGTTACAGCAGAAGTAGGTTGAAGTAGTGCAGGTGGGTAGCTAATAAACCTATTACTTGTAATAAACCTATTACTTGTTCCTTTGCAGACTACGCATGCTGACGCAGCTCCCCAACTGAACAACTTCATCCTTGAGTGTTTACTGATATATATATGGTGTACCATCTAAATCAGTTTCACCTTTTTCAATCATCCATATAATTTAGGGCTATGTTTTAGTAGCAACTATGAAAATGTGTAGTGTGGTATGCATTTTTTTCATTTTTTCAACATGGTGTCACAATTACATTTTATTGACAGAGAATTACAAATCCACTGTGATTAGCTTTATAAAGTTAAGTTAATTTAATGGTTGGCTTGCTTTAGGTACCTTTTAATGAAGAAATATTCTCTTCAGTCAAGCTAGAAAAATATTAAGGAAATTTTGAAAGAGGAATCTGTTCTGACATAAATCACCCAGACATCTTTATTTAAAAATAAATATTTGCTAGGTTAAAAGACCATACCCTGATTTTCCAACAGAATGCCTCGAGTATTAGTCATTACTATGAATCTGGGTCAAACAATATCTAGACCAGTAATAACTACACTGAACTTTCCCTGACTAAAAAGGCAGACTGAGAATCAAAGTTGTGTGATCATGAAATAATTTTGCGTTAAAACCAAACAAACCGAATTCAGTTTTCTCTGACTGTGAATTTTAGGATTGCTGTGAAGTTTTAGGGATCAGTTTAATCCTTTAAAATATAAAAATACAACATTCATAAACAGCATGGAAAGGTAAAAAAAGGCTTTAACTTCATTAGGCATAACAAAATTTAATGTGCCTATTCAGAATGCACCATGTCTTTATAATCTTAACTGCATTAGACATCAAATTACAGTTGCTATGTAAACCAGTTGCTTTGTAGATAAATCAATGGGCAAAGTGCATAAAGTGTTTGTGTTCCAGTAATTGGTCAGTGTAATTGCTGGCATGGTTGTGTTAAAATAAATGAAAACATAACTAAAAAGAATAGCGCTTCCCAGCATATCAATGCAACCATGTTGTTAAGTGCATTTTACAGAGAATACACTCATTTACTTTGAATCAGTGTTAGCTTAATTTAATTTCTTTTGACCAAGTGATATGTATTGCTCACTGATTAAGATAAGTACAATAACACAGTTTTGTAAGGGATCACATACACGATAATTCATTATTTAATACAGCATATATTTTGTAATGTTTTTATTCTTGATTTTATTAAACAGCTCTTTGTAAAAATCTATTAACCTCATATTGCTTTTCATGGTTAAAAGTTGTACAGCTCCAGAGTGCTGGATAGGCCAGTGAAACCAGACTCTCTGGAGATGTACCAAATTGTTCTTCAAGACAATAAATCTTCCATTGCTTTTTTGGGGGATTTTAAAGGAGAGATAACAGATGGCAATGTATTGAACTGCTGATTACATTAAGATAAACACTCCACTTATGAACTGCTCACAAACAGAGAGGGAAATGAAAGATTATTAAGAAGCCTCAGTACTGAACCGGCTCTTAAAGCCAATCGAAGCTATTTTTCCTATTTCTTTTTTTAAATAACTAACCACTAAAAATGTAACTGTAATCCTTTGATGTCTTTCAGGACATGAAATAAAGCTTCCAGTTTAAACCGATAAACCATTGTTCTGTATTTCTTTTCACTTTAATTCCTCTAACAAATACATTGCAGATGTCAGCTGAGTCATCTGAAAACTACAGTACTTTTGATTTCATAAGACAGAAATTAAAACTGAATTACGCATACATATTGTTTCTTAGGTGGGGTCTGTTCATGAATCAATGATGTGGTTCCATGCATACTGTACCTCTTACAAAGATCATTTTGAATATCACGTAAGGAGACAAAGGATCCAAGTATTTTGTTCTGGTTTACTCAGGCAATGTTACATGCTCATATAAGGCATTTTATGTATGGGTTTACAGGTACAGCTACATTAATAGCACAAGACTTCCTCATTATATATATTTTACATATCTGAATACAACAGCCTTACAAAGGGATTAAAATGATCTTAATTTGTTTTCTCCCTATCTAGTATTCACAGCAAAAACATAAAGTGTTTTTATAATAAACTTTGAAAAAAATACAATATATATAAGTCTGATTTTCATGTACCCTAACTGAAATTATTCGTGCTGCAACAGTGGCAAACCTAACAAGAAAACAATAAGAAGTTCGTGTTCGTTTTGCTGACGAACATCCTGTAGAATTAAAAATAACAAGCTGTGTAAGTCAGACACCGTTTCCTGTGGTTTATTTTGGCCACTCAGGAATTCTAAGAGTGAGAATTCTCTCTTTTTTTTCCATTGTTTTGATTAAATCCAAAAACCGTGATTGTAATCTGTGCACGTCATAAGTGATTGCGTGCAATATATTTAAAATTAGATTGAGGCAGCACTAAAACCGAATACGTGCTGGGAATATATGAAGTATTGAAGTTTCTTGCCAGGTAAACAGTAGCTTCACACTTCACATTATGTTGTTCAATGTCCATGAAAATGAA